CTTCCCCGCTCCGGAACCAACCTATTGACTGCGAGGGAGGATTCCTTCCCCGCTCCAGAACAGACCTATAGACAGCGAGGGGGGATTCCTGCCTGGCTCCAGAACCGACCTATAGACAGCATAGGGGGGATTCCCATCCCACTCTGGAACCGACTTTTATGTCATTTTTAAGCACAAAGCAGGTAGAAGGCAGGGCCTGGCTTTACTCCCCCGTGGCCCCTACACACACTGCCTGTGCCAGCTTCAGGGCTGTGGGGGCTGCAGGTGACAAGTTCTAAGTGCTGCCGGAGGAATGGGCATGGGGGGTGCTGGGCACAAGACTGGTTGTGCGCTCCCCATCAGAGATTTGTGCTTGGTACTCGGTGGGCCGAGGTAACGCTCAAGCACCAGAAAGGAATCCCTGAGCCAGCCACCGCCACCGTTGGCTCCGAGCCCAGCACGGGCCCCATCCCCTTGGGAATCCAGATGTCAGGACCTGGGCCAGTATGAGAGGGATTGGCTGGGGCAACAGAGTCTGTCTAGCACAGTCTGGCACTCGCCTGCTGTCCAGACCCAGACGACCAGCTGTGAGAAGGGGCAGGAAACACCCCTTCAAACTTCCCAGTGCCAGCGTCTCCTGGAGCCCTCGCCCGGCATGACGCCCCCACCATACCCCGCACGACAGCCTAACCTGGAACCCCCAGGCAGCAGCAGGACGTGGAGCTGGTTACAAACTGGTGGGCTGGATCCAGTGACGTGCAAAGAGTGTTGCAGGCTGTAAATCCGACTGCCAGCACTGCTAGGGAAAGGCATCTCTCCAAAGCAGGTCAGGTGAACCCGCTGGAGGTGTGCATCCCTCCTCCTCGGATTGCTTTGCCTTTACTGTCCCTCTGGCTACCATCGGTTATTCAGCCTCAGGAACATTGTTAGGAACAAACCCCGAATGCAGGCAAACAATTGGCTGCCCCTGTCGGCAATGCCGGGCCCAGCGTGGCTGGGTGCCAGGGTTCTGCCCTTCAGAGGGGGCCAGGGGGTGCACTCCAGAGAGGCTGAAGGAGCTCTAAAGCACAGTTGACCTGGCAGGCAAGGCGGGGTAAACAGGCACGTAACATAAAATCAGAAGGTCCTTACTCTGGCTGCATGCCCTGGCCCTGGGGGCCGTGCGGAGTGGGAGGAGCTGGAGGGGGGGGCAATGTGCCAGTTCCGTGCAGTGAGCCTCTGGACTGCAGCAGCTTGGGGGAGCTGAAGGTTTTCAGCACTTTGGTTTCCTCTCCTAGGAATAAAAACATGAGAAAATTATCAGCCAGCTGTCCAGCTCGCTGCCACCCCCCACCCGGCCCACCGGCCAATCACCGACCTGGCCCCAGCCCCCAGCTACCCCTCCCAGCCCACCAACCAACTCCCCACCACCCCAACAGGCCCCAGATAACCAGCCCCAACCCACCCACCCCAACAAGATACACTGGCTGGAAGCTGATGCTAGACAAATTCAAAAGAGCAAATTAACAGTGAAGGGTGATTAATCAATGGAACAATTCACCAGGAGTCATGGTGGATTCTCCACGGGCAATTTTTAAATCAAGGCTGGATGTTTTACTAAAAGATCTGCTCTAGTTTAAGCAAGAGAATCCAGGGAAGTCCTATGGCCTGGGCTGTACTCAGATTAATTGATCACAGTGGTCCCAACTCTCCAGCTGCCCAAACCTCCCATCCAGCACCAACCAACGTCCCAGTGCTTCAACCCTTCCATCGGCTCCCAGCTAACCAACTCCCCAGCCCCATACTGAATGACTGACCCCCCAGCCCTTCACCAAGGCCTCTATCCCCTACTGACCAACTGATCCTCACCCAGCCCTTCACCACATCCCCAGGCCCCAAGAAACCAACTGACCCATCAGCCACGCCCCATCAACTTCACCAACTCCCCATCCAATGTCCCAAGCCCTCACCCAACATGTCCACTTACCTGCAACCAACTCTCCAGTCTCCCAAGAGACTGACCTACCTAGTCACCAAGCAACCAATTCCCACTCCACAAACCACTAACCTACCCACCGGCCCCAGCCCACTCAGGGCTGTCCCTAGCCATTTGGGTGCCCCATGCAGCCCCCCACCCGTGAGGGACTGTGTGGGGCCCCAGGCCTCCCCCCCCCAGGGTCTGGGAGGCAGGAGCTGTGGGGGGCTACTTTTGGGGGCCCCACAGGCCCAGAGGATTAGTGGGAGGCCAGGAGCAGCCCGCTCTGCTTCCCTCGCCCCGGTCCCAGCCGTGTCGCTCGGGGGAGGGAGTTTGGGGAAAGGAATCCCCACCAACTCATCGGCAGCAGTGGGAAGCAGAACACCCTGGCCCCAGCCTTTCCCCGCACTCACTGGCGGCGAGACGTGGAGTGCCGCGGCTGGGAGCTGGCAAAGTAGAGCGGGCTGGGGCCGGGTTGCTTCACTTCCCACCGCTGCCAGTGAATGTGGGGTCACTAGGGGAAGAAGTGGAATGGGGATGGGCTGGGGGCGGAGCAGTGGGGAAGGGTAAGAGGCAGGGCAGAGGGAGTTGTCCCGGGCCCCACACCCCCCTGAGGCCGAGGGATAGGGCTGGTCGCTGGGGCTGGTGCTGCCGCATATGCAACATGCAGCAGCCTAGGGCACCATGAAATTAGGGGCAATTTGGTGCCCTACGCAGCTGCATA